AACCATATTTAAGTTATTTATTAAGGTTTTCAAGTTCATGCTAGAACCCGTCATATGGTAGAACTATTTTGCTTATATTATTAGTAGTTCTCTGCATGCATCGAAGAAATATTATGCATGAGAATTATCCAAACAACCAAAAAAGATTTCAATTCTATCATTAAAAGTTAATATAAATACAAATAATATTATTAGCATAACTATGTACATCTTACAATTTAATGTTTGTTATCTAAAACACAAAATAGTATGAACATTGATGAAATATCAATTATTTATAATCTCTAACTATTTGACCCTGCTTGATCTTACAAAATTATTATCCTCAACTTTACATTTTCATAAATTGATGTAGAGTTGAATAGAATTGGTCAACCATTGGCAAAATTAGCAAAAAGAATATATGCTCTTTATATAAGGAAAAGGCGTATATATGAAAAAATTGTCAACATTCCTACTGGTAATCCATTGAATACATGTTTAATTTTTTATTTATATGTTATCAAATTTTGTATTGCCTGCTAAGATTGGTTATTTTACTTTTTCATAAAAAAGATTGCTTATTTTACTGATTTCTATACAAGATTTCGAAATGAGATGAATAACTTACAAACCAAGAGAAATAGATTGTAAGCTCCATCAAACTTGCCAAAAATCGTTATAATCGTCTTCGAGTGATGCGTTATGAATAAATTGAAGGTTTATTGATATTTACAGCATCTGAGTTTTCCTCATTTATTTTAATTTTAAATTTTTTATCAATGTATTTCTTATATTGGAGTTTTAATTATATTGCAGTTGTTAAAGAGTTTGGTATAGGACACTCATCGCATAAATGTGGATATTAGCAAAGATGTGGAAGGGTGAAAGTACCAAACCCACAAGGAATTCCAATCAACCAAAATTTTCATTGTGTTGTAGATAACGCAAAATGAACTTCCCTCCTCGATAGCAGTCTTCAGAGGTTTTGAATATGCTATTGGATGCAAATACTTCAACTAGACGTCACTTTTTGGAACATATCTAAGGTTATAATGGGGTATTCACATTGATTTCTATTAGAGGTAAACTGCACTGATCTATATATGATGGATACAAAGTATGTGTTTATTCAACTGGATGTCAAATATATCATGAAATCCGTAGCCTAATGCCAACTGAAAGGAACATACCAAAATTTGTTCAACTCTACAAATATGACACTGGCAATGAACTCCAAAAATGGTTAGATATTTTCTCCATGACCCAGTTTCAATTCCTTTGCGCAATTCAATTATTCAACAATTGTAGAAGATGGTAGATTGAAGTAATATCTTAGTATTGAAATCTCAATATGTGAGGGATATATTGAATGGCACCACAGTTCAGCAAGTTGAAATTAAGTTGCTTGCTAAAATAGAAGCGGACTGTAGTGAATATGATTTACCATCTGCAAATGACATCATTCCTTTAATTTTTGAGGTCAAACATTTTCTCATGATATTTTTGTCCAATATCAAAGTCATCAACTAGAACAAATTAGTATATATCATCCAAATTTAATAGCTTTGCAATATCTCATATTATTCTCACATGTTGAGATGGATGACACACAAATATTCCATTTTATGGCATATGGAATGAATGAGAAAAATGTGGCATGATGTGATTTTTATAGTTATAGGCTCCAAATAAGACTGGAAGAATCTAACTTATTGCTATTGGGTGGAAAGTTGTTCCAACCTTATGTTCTTAATGCATATGCAGAAGTTAAAGCTTTGAATTTGATTAAAAACAATCAAACAAAATTCTAACAACATTACTACCAAGTTCGTTTGCATTCTTGAATTGAAAGGTGATTCAGATACATCTAATCATTGATATAATGTGAAAGTTTTCAGAATGCTATGACAATTTGTAGATGGGAAGGATATCTAGATCTTTTCATTACATTTACATGTAATCCTAATTGGTATGAGGTTCAATACATGTTTGATTTGATAAGAACTACTATATATTAGAAATGATCCTAATAGAGTTGATGTCTTCGCAATAGATTTTAAGCTGAAACTAAATCAATTGCTGAACGAGATTTTGGGAAATTATTTTTTGGAAAAATATGTGCATGTAACTTATATTCCTTAGTTTAACTTGAAGCAAAAATTTCATAAAATAATTTTATAAACTGTATGCATCATTATACATATTCAAGATCTACCTTTGGGTTGTAAAAGAAAAACAGTCGAGGTTGACTTTGTTGTTATGGATTGTGTGAGTGCTTAAATTTTTGAAATACCGGCTGAAAGGTTATTTCCAAATAAAGATAAATTACACGTGTCCATCTCCTACAAATTGAGAGAATAGTGTCAAAGTTTGACATCAAACTCGCAAATTAAAACATCTATAACCCAACAATTGAGTACTTACATGATTGGGAAGGTAAATGAAGACAGAACACAAACGATCTCTTGCACTTGATAGAGGTAAATTTTACTTGCATGAAATTGTGGATCCATATTAATTAGAAGGCTACAATATTCTTTATTGGATTTGGAGCATATTTGATATGTGCACCCGCGGATTATTATATAATTAACCTACCTACCATGTCAACTTATCACATGTTGATTTTGTAATGCATTTAATTTCCTACTAATTGTCCGGCTATCAACTGTATACGCCTAGCATTTTTGAATCTATCATCTCTTATACCGTACGTAAATGATACTTAGTTGTACTCTAATTTCCAGAGAAACTAATGCTATTTATATCTTCAAAGTCTAATGGAACTTTCCTTTATTTCCCGGTAACATGCATGCAACTGTATCAGGATACAATTCCAATGTATATTAAATTATTAATCACTTATGCTAGGATACCGAGATTGCTAAAAGTGGACGTAATGGATCCAATGCTAGAGTGATAATAGAAGGAGTCTTGGGGTAGATTAAAGTACCGATAATGGGGAGCAAGACACAAATCATGGCTCTTATTCATATTTTAGACGAGGTAAATTCTACTCAAAATGAAAAAGATGATTTGTACTGGTAAATATTTTACCATTAATTTTTGGTTGTCAATGAAATGTAGGGAAAAAAAGGAGAGACTATTGAAATGCAATAGAAAAAAGACAATTTAGAATGAAAATAAATTTGTCACTAATGGAGTCGAAGATGTAATTATTAAGGGAGATGATGATGCCGCTCATAGCGGAGGGAACACAAACAAGTCCAAAAGAAAACGTGCAATAATCTCTGACGATTAGAAGATAATAGAAGGGCAATTTAAAAAAATTCTTAGGACTCTTTTCTCTTGCATGGAGTTTGTCCTTTAGTTGATGCATCAATTAGAATGGCAGGAAAAATTATGATATTAATCCTTTTGAACATTTCAAGTATTTTAATAATTTAGATTCTCTTATACTACCGATCTGTTTGAATGTTTCAATATTTGAATATTTGAATTTGAATTTTTATTATATTATCATATAAACATGTTTTCATACTAATTGATACTATTGTTTAGAAAATTTGCAAAATGAAACCTCCCAACTGGCCGGGCCCGTGACTAGTTCTTTTATATGCACATGCATCCTAAAAATATTAAAAACATAAAGACTCAACAAATCCGACAAGTGAAATCTTGCAGATTTGTTTTTGCTAAACTATTATTACTATAATATTCAAAAGATTGTTTATGATATGGAATTCAATAATTAATAGCGATGAGAGGGTAAATACTCATGATAATATTTTCTTAATAGTCATTATTTTTCCCACTATATTCTCATTGTATGATTTTTATCGAGACAAATTATAGAAATTTATTGCAAGAGTGATGTACTTTTTCTGATTCACGGAGACATAATTATAGAAGTGTAATGCAACTTGCAAGAGTTACAGGTTCATCAGCGTAGATCTATCTCCGTGGTTCAATTACCAAATTATGCACTGATCAATGTACCGGGAAAGTCAACGGTAGGATATTTTATGGTAAAACCGTAGTTCAACCGTATTACCGTTAAATAACGTCTATCAATTTAGCCTCTAATACTGGTATTTCGTGGTTGAACCGCCGACACGGTACGGTTTCATGGACCATGCTTGTTACCAACTACCACATATAAAATAACTCATTTATTTGGTTCATCCAAACATGATAATCTAATTATCAATTTTCCCCAAATAACTTACAAATACCACATTTGCAATTTTTGAGTTATTTCACCTTAAAAATACCACACAACCAATTCATCCACACATGATAATTTAATTACCAATTTTCCCAAATACCACATTTGCAATTTTTGAGTTATTTCATCTTACAAATACCACACAACTAATTAATCCATCCAATCGACCCATAATATTTTTTCATAATCTAGGTCTTAAAATTCAACTTAGTTTTGGATAAATTCGAATTAATTTTTAGTAAATTCTTTCACCGTGTGCTTAACAGTTCATTGACATTTTATCATTCGAAATGCAAATTGTTCCAAAGGAAGAGACTCTTCTACTAATTATCAAAATATCCCTGATAATTATGTTAGCATAGTGCTAAAACTAAAGAGTGTTAGCCCTATCAAGTAGCCATTGTGACTGTTAATGTTCTATTCAGATATCTAGAGTTCCAAACTGATAGTCAGCTTGGACATGAAGAATACAACTCGAGAAAAAAGGCATCTCAAATTCCATATGCCGAATTCTGAAAAGCAGTTGGCTAACCCTGTAACCCAAGTCTCCATCAACACAGTTAAATAAGTCGAATCAGGTTCGGCCTGATCCAGGTTGGAGTCTGTCCCTGTCTGTCACTAAACCATATCGGCCGGCGATCTGACATGGATACTATAGTCCAACGGCATTGCCGTCCGTGCTAATCCATATTAATCCCATCTGGACATCAGTATCTGTCTCTGTAGTTTCACCATCTATGTGCCTTCGCCTGTCAAGTATTTCATTTCCACTATACAATAACCAGCTGAGCAAACCAAGCATCGAAACACGCTCGTGCTTGCAGTTGCAGCCTGCAAAAAATCTGCCACATGATACTTAAGAAAATGACATCCAGAATGAGAAAGCCATACACTGGAAAACTCCACACTATCACAACAAATAGAAACATTAAGACGTTAACTTAAGATGTCGTCGTCGATGTCAATGGCAATGCCGTGCAACAGCACACATCAATTCACCAAGAACATGACTGATACAAGGGCATGAACAACAACTGGGGTAGATACAGACACTCATTCAGTTCCACCTATACTCAGCTCTTTCTAGCTCTAGGTACAGTCGGTCCCTAAACCACTTTGAAGTGAGACTTCAAGTATTACCTATCTGCTGGAAATAAACATGAGCTTCTATCTTAACAATAATTAAATATGCACATAATTTGAGACCTTTGTCCCCTCCTCCTTCCTTGGTACGATATACCCTACAGGCAGCCAACTCCCTAGTCAGTGGTCACATGAGAACAACAACAAATAGACAATCAGAGAAAAGCCCTATAATAGGCTTCTGCCTGAACTCTAGCAATTGAAAGTTGAGTTACTCCGGGTCACTATCTGTGTCCATAAAGCTATATTCTTTGCATCCGTCAATCTTAATTAGCAGAGTGCCCCGGTTCTCTTCGCTCCACTCCAATTGTTCACTTTCCAAAAGTTTTACCACCTGCAGGTAAAGATGAAGACGTTCAGTACGACAGGTGATACAAATTCGCAATTTTCCATAATATCAATAGACACATTGACGCAGAAGTTGAGACAAAATAGATAACCGTGGGATCAATCTTCCCAGGTCACAGCATTGGCAATAGACTTTCACTACCTCATTGAATTCAAAATGTAACCACAGGGAAATCTATCGATTTATGGGCAAGTGAAACTTGATGGTTAACAACTTGGCTATTGTTGTTGCTGCTACCTCAAGCCATGTCAAGGTTGTATATATGTGAAACATAGGCACGTGAGATGTCCAAATTTTACTATATCAGGACAAAAGTTGCCAAACTAACCCTCAATGCAGCAGTTATTCCACAGTTCCAGAGGGGGCATACAAGAGAAAATGACAACACCACATACCGATTGTTTCAGCTTAGACTTTCCCAGACCATGACTCCCACACCCTGTAATTACTCGGAGTACCTGAATTGCTGAGACAAAACGGTGACCTACAAATCAGTTCAAATCTAAAGGAAATATCACACGCAGTCACAAGTCTGACACTTACAGTTCACGTAAGTTCCGAATAGAAGGTGAAGTTTCAAAACCTTCATAGCTGGCTTGACATGTTGACCATGCAAATCAATGGTTACCACATTTTTTATCTCCTTGTTCCTATGATGTACCAATAGCATATCAGTTCATGTACAGTAAAGAAAGAAATATTAAGGTTGCTCAGAATTCTGTCATGTGCTAACCTAGCCTTAAAGATGTCCATGCTAGCCTTCTTATCAGCTTCTTGAGCAAATTTAGTTTCTGCTCTCCCCTACAGAAGAACGGCAAAAAAGGTCAACCTTCCAGCAGTTGATTCACCGGCCAACCCCAAATCAGACAACACAAGCTGTACGATATTACATTTTTTTCCAGAAACAGCACCCTCACCTGGTCAGACAAATAAGCTGCATATTGCCTTTCACCCTTTGAATAAGCTGCAGCAGCCTGAAAAGTTCACTTTACATAAACTACATGTATCCAATTACTAATCTGATACCCATATATAACCAACAGTCTAATACTCGCTGTTGGTAGCTAGATCTGTAGGTTCATTTGAGGTTTCAAGTTTGAACATTCTGTTTTGTGACCAAAAAAGAAGACAACAGAACAAACAGAAGAAAAGACTATGGTACCTATTCACACGAACAAGACAAGAAGTTGTAATATGTACTTACCCTATGAAAGTAGGATGTCCTAGAATCCCAGTGTTGCTTCGCAGATTCTCTAAGGACACGATACTCATCGCCTTTAGCTACAAGTCCATATAAGAAATGTGTAACAAGACATGCTTATGAAACCAAAAGATGAAGCTTTCAGCTTGCTAAGCAACAAGAGACAGATGTAGCAAACAGAATAAGAAAACCACGCATACTAAAAATCAGTATCATATACCATCCATGTCTAGCTCAGAAGCATCATCGCTAAGTAGAGGCACATCAACAGGCCCAAGTGACTGCATTTTCTTTACTATTTTCTTCCAATTCATAGAGTGTGGTTCATGTTTGGAACTCTCTGTAATGCTGTACAAAGAATCCAGCACCTTTTGGGGAAGTTCTGATTTGCTAATTTTTGGGACAGATGGAGATGGAGCTTCTGAATTAGTGAGGACTTGAGCATAATTCCTGAAACAAAACAAAAAAACAACACAGCTTTTCCATCAGTCGGGTTTTGAGGATGACACAAAAGCCAACCATCATCCTAGTATTGGCGGAATAGACTTTCAGTTAAAGGGGTCCATTTCATCCAGCTGAAACTATTGGCATCCGAAACACATACATAGTAGGGTTAGCATCTTCTAGAATCTATCATTCCTTCATACTATTGCACTAGTTTAATCCTTACAAAAGGATAAACTTGAATAAACATAAGAAATTACAAGTCATGGTCTTACTCCGAAGTGAAACATACTACTGGAAAGTTGTTTCTGCAGCGAAACATGCATCACATGACAAAGTACCACGTAGTTTATGAATGAATGAATTTCATCCAGCAAAAAGAGTTAAATGAATATTGAAGCGGGTAAATGAAAATATACAATTATATCTAGCGTAATGCGCAGACTAGAGTATTTAAGCCATCACATCACGTCTTCTTTCTACCAACATATGTACTATCGCTCAAAAGGGAAAATTATTAGGTCAAACAAGCCAGGAACTCGGACCCACTAAACAGTATAAAGAAAAGGCATGGCAAAGATGCACAAATATCTTAAATTTAAGGCAGAGAGCATCAAATACGTATGAAACATTTTACTACCAATACCTATATCTGTAGCAGGAAACACTTTAGAATTACCTGTAACCATAGTCCCACACACTCTCATGGAGATCGCTTTCAGATGAATAAGAAGTGCAATCAGAAGCCTTGTCTATGAACTGTGAATCAGAGAAAGGCAAGTCAGTGACCTACCCCATTAATGTATTATTGATCCCACAGAACATAGTATTGCTCATTGTCATGCACTCAAATCAGAGAGAAGAGTAAGAAAAGAGGAGGGGCACTCTGATAATGCCCACCACTTACATTGTCGGCGTAATAAGTATATTGCTTTTTGCTGCAATTACTAGATTGCTCGGAGGTTGATGCGGATAGATCAATCAAGGCATCCATGGCCTGGGAAAAGAGATTGCATTAACCAACTATCATTCACCATCGGCAAGGTGGCCTATAGAGGGGATAAGTCACCAAGTTGAATCAGTAAAGCTCAACGCCTCACTATGACCAACTACTTATGGTGCAAGCTAAAACCAAGCAATAGATAAATCCAGTCCTAGTTTACATCTTAATTTTAACAGAAAGACCGAAAGCCCTTACTGCAGCGTACAAATAAAATAACTTACATGGTGAGCGGAAGGGGTCTAGTAATCTGATTGAAAACAGCTGACTTATCGAGTACGAAAAATTAAAAGAACGATGAAAATATTAGCTTACAATCTTCTCTATATACCTTCTCAACGTTGTAACCACATTGGCCTGCACAAGCAAATTACAGCTACGGATTACGCAAGTATCATAATTTTCCTCCCACCATCCACTGAAGTGCCAACTGCGGAGCAGCACAATCACAACTCAAATAAATGAAGAAAAACTCACATAGAACGTCTCTGACAACCGCCAGGTTCAGCTCGCTATCTTCACCAAGCATGGAACAGAGGAACTGCGCGGCATCTTCTCGGTCTGGGGCACCATTACCAAACTCCTTCGATTTCGAGGAATCCCTTCTCTGGCTGGCCTTAACATACTCCTTCCCCAGCAACGTCGAAACCGTCCCGGTAACTGCCACCACTTTCTTCTGCTTGTTATTCCCTCGAAACCCCTTTCCCCCACTGATCAAATGCCCTTCCATGGACCCTTCCGAAGAGCCAGAACTCGAAGCAGAACTGCAGGAACTGCCGGATCCAGACCCGGTGTCGAATCCCGAAACCCCGCTCGACACGTCGGTATTATCGGTCATCGTGGTCAAAATCTCGGCAGCCCTGTTAACGTCACCGTTGGCCTCCTTGTACGCGGCGGCCGCGTCGTCGATCGAGGCCGAGTCAAACGCCTCCATCAGCGCGCCCAGGATCTTCCGTTCTTCCTCCTGGGGGCTCGGCCGTACGCCCGTGGCCGTTCCCGCCGCAGGTTTTGGATTCGAGGGACGGCTCTTCTTCCTCTTGGCCTGCTTCCTCATGATTGGAACGGAAATCGCGCCCCGGAATCGGAGCAGCGGAGTCTGGTGGTGCGCAGGGGCAGTCCCGGCCGAAACCCTAGATCTTCGGGGAGGAGGAGAGGGAGATTTTGACGACGGAGGAAGAAAATGGGGAGAACGCAGGAAGAGGGTTACGGATCAGAGAATGCCTAATAATGGAAAATTGGGGAAACGAGCGGTGGTGGAGGAGCGGCGGGTGGTAGTTGGGAGAGATTTTGATAGATTCAATCATTCATTCACCATCAAACGCATAAACCCAAATGAAATGTGAGAAACAGAGATAATTGCAGCGGGCACTATCTATCGAGAATCTCTCCGCCACGAACCGTTGACCTACCCCACTTTCTCTTGGTCTCATTTTAACTTCCTTTTTGGTCTTTATATCTATATCATGTTCGGTTTTTTAACTTGGTAGTAGAGTAGACTGTTTTTATTTTATTTTAAGGTTTAATTCACCTGCATAGCCATAACTTTCTCTCTTTTGACAATAATAGCCACTTTTTAAAAAATACACAGATATAGCCACACGTTTAAAATTTGTTTGACAAATTTAGCCACTTCCGTCACATACTTTAACACCGTCAATGACTTTGTCAACTAAACAAAGTTTAGGCTGATGTGGATGCCACGTGGATAACACATCATGTCCACTTAGACTTATCATGCTTAGTGGATGCCACGTCACATTTTAAATTAAAAAAAAACTAATTTCAAATTTTAAAAAAACCAATGCACTTATGCGCTACTACAGACGGCAAATGAATTTCCTTCGCCAAAAAATTTAATTTTCACTTCTGTTCTCCATTCAACTTGTGTTCTTCCAAAATCCAAACTCCCGCTTTCGTTCTTCCTTCCGGCGACGGGTTGGCCGTACTATGTCGGTACCTTTGCAATTCGGATCTCAGTTGGGACAATCTCGAATTCTTCAGCGGATGGAACTAACGAAAAATCGGGTACATTCTTCCAATTCTCGTTCGCCGATTCCAATTCATTTTTTCGCGACCCAGTTCTTCACGGTGTTGCAATTGACGTCGCATACTACTGATGACAAAATCGATGGATGGCGGCGAGGAGGTGGTTGTTGACAAAATCTCCCAACCATCGAGTTTCTTTCACAGGACACCGCCGCTGAAGAAAAATCCCTCTATGCCCGAAAACCCTAATTTCATAGAGAGATTCCTCTCTTACGATTCCGCTGTGGTTCTTCTTTCTTCCCCCAACACACAATCTCTCGGTTCTTCACCTGTAGTCCAGAATCGGAGTCTCTGTTCACTCCCATGGTCGGATCGACGGCGGCGGAGCCCATGAACTTTCGATCCCAGTGCTACTGATGCGAAGGAAACCCAAATTCTTCATTGACCTAGTCTACAGAGTAAGTAAGCAGGGTGTCAGGATGGATCGATGATTGGATGGCATCCACAATCCACATGGAAGTTGGGATTGAACAGAGAAATAAGAGGAGGATGAAAAAATGGAGGTGGAGAGAGAGCGGCGCCGGAGCTTCGATAGAGATGTTGAGGTGAGTTCTGTGAAAAGAGGGGAAGTTGAATCCCTCTTCTATTTTTTTAATTCTTGTTGTTTAGTTAATTACAATAAAAGGGATTTTTCCAAGTGGCAATTTTTTTGTCAAAAAGAAGCCACGTCATAAAAAATTGTTAGTCTAGTCAGCGTTCATTTCAATGCCGTTAAAGTTATGGACGGAATGGCTATTTTAGTGTATTTTTCAAAAAGTGGCTATTATTGTCAAAATGCGAATAGTTATGGCTATGCAAGTGTATTAAACCTTATTTTAAATAAAGTAGACTGTTAATTAAACTTGGATATATTTACTCTTTAGTACATGCTTTTAATTTATGTTTTAGATTTTTTATTAGTATATTTTTATGAATATATTAAATTAGTATATGTTTAAGCTTGCAATGTTACAAGCGGGATTGTGCGAGCCTTTGTTGAGATCACGCCTCCCCTGCAATGCGGTTAGCTCCTCCTGCAGAAAGGATCCGGAGGCGGGCCTCAGATCACTCTCCAACTGTCAAATTAGTCTTTAGAGAAAGAAATTAGAATGTAGAGAGATGTTGAGTGTCGGTAAGTTACCACTAAATGATGTAGGTGAGTGATATTTATAGTCGATGGTCACTTGTGTGAGCATTTAATGCTTTGTTGTGTGTGTACTAGTAATTGCCTTCCCGAGGCTGCGCTTGCGGCTGGATTTAATGTTATATCGGGCCGCATGATCAGGTCTACAGTTGTCCCATCAATCGTGTTGTCCATATTCCGCTTCCGGCTCCTCGGTTGTCCTGTCTTTTCATAATGCCTCGCGTTCCTATGGGTGTTTCGATGGGCTTCGTTTGGGCTTATTGGGCCGAGTAGGGTGGTATGGGTTGCATGAGCAAAGGTTTAGAAAGTAGCCCTAATTAGCCCAACAATTGTCCCGTAGGCGGTAAAAGCCTTGGGTTTTGGCGGCTGAGTAGGGTTGTATGGGTTGAGTTGGGTTGAATGAGCCGAGGTTTAGGAAGTAGCCCTAATTAGCCCAACAATTGTCCCGCAGGCGGGAAAAGCCTTGGGCTTTGGCGGCTGAAACTTCTTGCTTAGGCCGGTGAACGTTTCCTAAACCTTCGGTTTGGTCCCAAAGACAGTCTTCTCCCCAGCCGTCGAACCTTAAGGTAACACACCTAGGGTTATTATTTTGAATTCGACATCTTCCCATCTTCCCCCCTAGAAAATTGTACCCTTGTTAGTATTTTGAATTCGCCATCATTACACCTATATAACCTCCTCGATTCTCTCAACAGGCTCTTCAAAGACTCTCTTTTCTGCTCCTTTTAAAACCCCAAAGGTTTATTGAAACTGGTAAGTTTTCTTCTCTCGAGTTTTCTCCTCTCGAGTTTTCTCCTATTCACATCCTTCGTTTGATTTCTTCTGATTCTCAGTTGCCGCTGCCGTCTTAACGATCCACTCTTCCCCTATTTCACCATAGCCCACTGCGGCCGCTACGAATTCCGGCGTCATCTCATCATGCCCAGTGGAGATTCTGGTGCTACCACCTCTTCTCGCTACGGTGTTGCGAACACCGTTCCCGGTGATCCCTCCGCCGCTCTTCAACTTTGGTCCAAACTAATACAACAAGCTTAAACCGCAAACCATGTCGTCACACCTGCGGTCTTACAATCTCCCTGATGACTGGAAATACGCTGCACCATCTCCGGACTCGAGGACGGGTACATGTCTGAAAAGGTGGATCACCATATAAACAGAGCAATTAAAGTTTGGGTTACGCTACCCACTTGACCCCATTGTTATGCATATATTTTTGTGTCTAAACTACACCCTGGGAGGCTATCTCCCACTATGATATTCCACGCATGCGCATACTGTCTTACGTGAAAAAGGCTAGGCGTAGAACCTTTGTTCGATGCTTTTCGACTCATGTATGGCCTTAGGAGGGTATCGAACGTTTGGTCGTTCGGAAGGCGTGACAAGGTGTACGGTTTTGTGACCGGTACTCCCAAACTTGACTCTCCTTGGTTCAAAGACTTCTTCTATGCCAAACCAACCAGTAAGTGGTACTCTGGTGACAAAGAACCGAAGACAAGTTTTGCCTACTGTAGGCGGGAGAACTGGGACGCGAGGTTGTGGTCGTTGGAGTCCCAAAAGGACCATGTCTTGAGAATTGTTGAGCGGTCGTCGTTTAAGATGGCACCTAAGGGTCCCGATTTTGTTGCTTCTATTCTGACTGAGCTCTTCGGAGATGGTCAGTGATATATGCTAAATTGCTTTCGGGGGATTTGACAGGATTATGCGCGTGGCTGACCATCCTTTTTCTCTTGCAGCCATGGACTTCCGTAACGTGGCTCTGATGACAAGGCCTCCAAGGCATTCCAAGCTCGGAGATCCTAAAGCGGGGAGCACGTCTGCTGCCGCAGTGACGGTGGGTTCTTCCTCTATCGATGTTAAAAGGGCTCTGATCCCGCTGCTCAAGCCTCCGATGTGTTCCGGGCAGGCTATTTTTTGTCGGTGATACCGACGGCGTGTTGAGGTTGAATACTAGAGCGGAATTGGTGAAGCCAAGCCGAGACATTGGAAAGCGTCATATTGATCATCCCGTAGATGAGGCTGAGAAGAAAAAAAGGCAAAGCCAACTGCTTCGACTGAAATCGTTGCCTTCTCCCCCCCATTCCTCGGTGCGGGAAGATTGTGCCCGACGGATGCTGCATGAGTTGTCCGGGAAGCTGCTCGTGCCCTCTGAATACACAGAGTCTCTTGATCCTTCTTCCCGTCACTGGGTTGGGACCACCGCCCGCTTCTTGCTCGCCGTAAGTGGAATACTTTCCCCACTATTTTCATCCTCTTTAGCATTCCAACTCTTTGCTTTCTCCTACATGCTAGAATTGGTCTTTCTCAAGTAAGAATGATCAATGAGAAGCTTTAAATGGCGAACCTCCAGAGCAGCGATGATATGGAAAAACTGCGCAAGCGAATCGACGAGCTAGAAGCGGAGTCCATCAAAGGTCATGCGACTTTCCGTCTAGAAGCGAAAGCGGAGCTGGAAAAGAAGCATGCTGAATGGGGCATGGAGAAGATTAACACCCTTATGGCTAACAAGGACGTCCTAACAGCTGAGGTCGCCAATCTTCACAAACAGAATGAGGAATTGGAGGCAGAGAAGAGGGAAACGTCATTGAGGCACCTGATCGAAGTGGACGCAACAGTCAAGTCTGCGGTTGCGACATACCTGTTGTCCCCCGCTTTCAAGGCAATAGATAAGGCTAAACGTTCTAAGATGATGGCTGATATTGTGGCCTCTATTCGTCATCTGTTCCATCGCGAGCATCCAGAGCTGGAATGGGACACCGATGCGTTGTGGGATGCTATTGAAGCTTGGGGAAAATCGGAGAGCGACATGAACTCGGAACAAGATCTCATTGATGTTGCTGCTGGAGGCGACGATGCTACTTCTCAGCCTGGTGACACATGAAGTTTTAGTTATGTTTTTGTTCTATAATGTGCTGTGTCGCAGTATAAACAATGTCCTTTTGATCGTGAGCGGGATTAATTATTAATGTTTGGCTTTCCTCCCTATCTACCCTTTGATTATTCGTGCTCTTTTATTTCTTTAACTCCACGATATGATCTAATATGAGGTCGGCGCTGATTAGGGATGACAATTTCGACCTGACCCGTTTTACCCGACTTGTTTTGGGGCGGGGCGGGCATGGGTACTCTCATAGACCCGACCTGCCCTGACCCCCCCCATTCTCGACCCGTTCTTGCCTAAATTACACTTAATTTTAGTCAAATTACTTAGGATTTTCCTTTTACTAAATCAAATTTTA